TAATGTAGAAAATATTAAAGAGAAACATATTTCTCTTTAAAGTATGTTTTGTTTTTGTTGTTCTTTTGTTAGTTGTTTGTTTAGTGTTTTCAAGACAGGGTCTCTCTGTGTAGCTTTGGCTATTCTGGAACTCACTCTGTAGAACAACAGGCTGGCCTCGAACTCACAGAGATCTGCCTGCCTCTGCCTCCCAAATGCTGGGATTAAAGGTGTGTGACACCACTGCCCAGGTCTCTTTAAATTTTAAGTTTGGAATTGTGTATACAATATACCAAAAGCTGCTACCCTCAACACCCACCTCGAAAATGCCTCTTTAAGAATAGTAACCAGAACTCTAAATTGGGGCTCTTTCCAATCTCAAGAACATTTCACTGAAGATTTCAAGGCAGTCTCCAGTCTCCAGGCAAGAAACAGTTGCTGGTTTCCTATGCTTATAAACGTGGAAGCTTAGGGAAGAATCCTTGTTGGTGCCATAGGGATTTACGTTAAAGCTAGAATAAGAAAACATTCTTACAGAATGCCAAGGTGCCACCGGAAACTGCTTCAGGAGCTTCCCTTGGGGTACTGTTTAATTGCTCCTTACTTAAAAATGAAGGGCTCTACCTTCATTTGTTGCTTCCTTTATTTTAACACTGGTCCTGTTTATACCACATGTTCAACTTTGCATGGGTCCTGGGACAAAAGGTTATGTCTGAATTGATGGAGATGAACTTCATGAGCTAATTGTCACAATAGGACATTCCTGCTATAAGTAAGGTTAGGGATATAAAGCACTAAGAAGACCATGGCTAACTTCCTAATCATGGTACAGGGAACAGATTTGGAAAGGAAATGACATTTGAGCTGGTGCTGAAGAGAGATTAACAGTCATTAGGGCTGAGGGTGGGACATACCTGAAATAGTTACTTGAAACTGGCTTTCACATCACAATAAACCGCTAGACTAGTTCCTTGGAGAGAAAATTACAAAGGTCCCTTAAACCACTTTTATGTGAGAATACCTTGTAGTATTAACAGTTTAACCACAGTCACAGGGGAAAGGACTATAAAGTGGAGAACTGTAGGACATCTGAAGCATTTTGGAATAAAAATTAACACTCTAAACGATACTCTGTGTTCTGACTAAATTTTTATTCTTGTTTTGAGACAGGGTTTCTCTTGGTATCCCAGGCTGACCTGGCACCCACTCTGTAGCCCAGGCTGGCCTCAAACCTCACAGAGATCTGCCTGCTTCTGCCTTCTGAGTGCTGGGACTAAAGGCATGCACCACAAATGCCCTCCCTGAAAGCTCAGTATGCAGAACTGAGGCCAGTGAGTCTCAGCTTTCTTCTGCATATCAGGAACAGTGGGGAAGCCTAGGGTTTTCACTGTCTGGCAGACGAACCCCGGCTTCCTTTCAACCTCTATTTGTCTACTTAAAGTGTTAAGAGGTTAGTTACCCATTTCTATGACTTAGTTTTCTTATCTTCCAATTAGGAATTATATTTTTACTGTTGTTTTACTAAGCTCAGAGTGATGTGGTGAGAGCAAACTTTCATGGGCAACAATAAATCATACCGAAGGGTTAAAGCCCAGTGGTGAGATCGCTGAGATCTAATAAGCCCTTCCTGCGCGCTTGTGTATTCTATAGTACATCATCTAGAGAAATGCTTACTACTCTATATAACTTAAGTTCTGGAATTGTTTATATACGATACTGACCACAGCTTTTTTTTTTTTTCTAAAAATGAACCATTAAGAATAGTAATAAGAATTCCGTACTGGGTTACTGTGTTACATTATAACATAGCAGGAACCTCCTGGGGTAAAACACAACACTGCCCATTTCACACTAATGTTCTTCCCACACTTGATAATTAACATCAAAGTTCAAGGCGTGTGTCCCAAGAACCACCCCTTGAATGGTGAATGGTCACCCATTCATGACCACATCGTAACAGGAGAATCCTGTGACCTACCAGGTTCTAACCAAACATGAATAACCAGAAACAGAAGCTCTTAGGGCTTCTGCTTCCAACCATTTCTTCTCTCACTCTTGATCCTTGACATGAAGTAATGATTTATTTATTTATTTTGAAGTAGGGTTTCTCTGCATAGCCCTGGTTATCCTGGAAATTGCTCTGTAGATGAGGCTGGCCTCAAACTCATTAGATCTACCTGCCTCTGCCTCCTGAGTGCTGGAATTAAAGGCATAAAAAACACTGCACAGCTATAATATTTTATTTTTAGGAAGATCCAAGGATTATGTTTGTCCTGGAAATTCACTTAGCTAGTCACTAGTCTAAAAATAGTCCTATGGGTTTGAAGAAGATGACTTCGGAGGCCTAGAAAGAGGCTTGGACATTAAAGTGCTTAATCTTATGCAATGATGTCTGACAGCTGCCCAGATGTGAGATACTGGATGCTGTTCACACTTAGAAGATGACTTAAAAGTGGTATATCCTCTTTGTATAAAGTAGAAGATCACTATGGCTAATACTTTGTATGCCTCAGCAGGCCTGATTGCCTCATCCAAATGGTAGACCCTTTGCAAGATAACGTATCACCCTGTTTAAAAACCAGGTGGACTCAATTTTAAGATACACGGGCTTCCTATTTTCTTTGAACTTGTAGACTTCTGTTTATTTTGTCAAAAGGAACTTTTCTTACATCAGGGAGTTTCAGGTACATTTTATTTAATAATGCTCTGCCAGGATCTAGCTGAGCCCTACAGGTAATGCTACATCTGTGGAGAGGAAGGCACAAACATTATCTCTAAAATATTCTGCCCATGTTAAACCGAAGCTCCAAAGGAATTCCTGGAATGATTTCCTTTCCACTTTCACAATCATAAAGGCCATCTCCAGAAGCCCCGCCATATCTTCAGCAACCTGAGCATAAACCCAACCTCTATAACTAGCCATCCTTACTTATTATTTTTGAAATATGATAGAAAATACAATGCTTTCCAAAGTTTAAGGACAGTTTTAACGTATTTTTTCCATCCCACCTAAACAAAAATGTGTGGAATAGAATAATTATGGGTGTATATACAAATGTGGAGAAACAAAACATTTTGAAATAAAGGCTGTTGGTTTTTTTTTTAATGGATTTATTTTTATTTCACATGTATGAGTGTTTTTGCTTGCATGTATATATGTATATCACATGTGTACAGTGCCCAAGGAGGTCAGAAGGAAGGCATTAGATCCTCTGGAACTAGAGTTACAGATGGTTGTGAGCTGTCCTATGGGTGCTGGGAATGCTAAGCCATCTCCCTAGCTGCAAGCCATGGGATTCTTAATATTTTGTTTTTGTAATTTTAAGAAAAAAAATCGTGTTAATTGAGGCTTGCTCAGGTCTTATATTACAATTTCTTTTGGCAGAATTTTGCCAAAAACTTGCTTCAGTAAGTACCCCATTTTCAGTTTGTCAGTTGGTTTTCCTTTCTTAGGACTTTGTTCCTTACTGAGATTCCTTTGCCAGTATGTCAAATACTAAACTATGTTTTGGTTCCTTTCAAACACAGGCATTAGCTATATTAAGCCTCAGATTTGAAGTAGGAATCAAATAACTCTGCCTAAGTTGGGAAACCTTCTTTTGCCTCTCTGGTATGCACACAATAGACATCATTTTCAGACATCTGGTCATGTTGTACCCAGTGGTATTTTAAACAAGAGCATTTTATGCTTCAGTGGATACAGAGGGTGGGAAGCATCTCTTTTTGAGGTAGACAACCTAACAGTATGCCATTATTTTAAAAGTGTCATAAGGAAATAGACTCAGACCTAGTTGGCTTCTTTCTTGGAACTTCCTGTGTCCTGTTTGTACAAGATCAATACTTGGTGAGACTCCGTGGCTTTCCATGAGGACATTGGACAACAAAGATATCTTTCTACTCAATTCAGAAGTGGCTAGATATTTCCAGGTCTGTGTTTACAGGGTGGGAAGGAAGGACTGTTAGGAACTAGCAGCCAGCTGACCCCCGCCCCCGACGATGGGCGGGATGCTCATGGCATCACTATGTCAGCCTTACCTGGCGGCTCAAGCTTTACCTGGCTGCCAGAGGACTCAGTTACGCATGCGCAAGCCCCTTTTTTTAAAACAAGCGGAAGCGCACCTCTCTCTCTGGTTTCTCTCTTGCCCCCTCTTGCCCTCCCTTGCCCCCTTTTACCCTCTCTTGCTCTCTCTCTGCCCCCCCCCCCGCTCTTTCTCTCTCTCTCCTGCTTTTGGTTGGCCACCAGCTACCCCCTCTTTCTCTCCCTTCTCTCAATAAACTCCACGTGGGTGCTGAGTCTCGTGTTTGTGTTTTATAGGCATTAGCTGTATCAAAAGAACAATAAGGACCACTAGGAGCGGAAGAGTCCCTGAGCAGGTCTGGGGATGGCTGGTGGCAATAAAGATTCTTGTCTAGGAGACTTAGAAAGGCACATACCAGTTTCTACAATGTTCTTCAAACCTGGCCAAGGCACCGTTTTAGCTAGAGCAACTCACAAAAATCCCCCAAACTAAGATCAGTATATATCCTGATACTGGGGCAATGAGGCCATGTTTATCACAGAGTTCTGGTTGAATAGAGACAGTGCCCAGGGAAATACTATTTGGGGAAGACCCACTAGGGGAGGTGTGGGCTATGATGAGAGCATGGCTAGATTCCAGCATCGTCCTGCTGCCTGAGTAATCTAAATAACTGGGCAGAGGTACCCTATTCACACAGTGATTTCTCTCTCTTTCTCTCTCTCTTCCTCCCTTCCTCACTCCCTCCTTCTCCCCTCTTATGAATCACAAGACAGAAACAATATGACATTTACCTGTAGCTACTAAAGAATGGAATTCTGTCAGATTGAAACTAAACCTTCTATAGCAGACACAAAATTCATTCTGCATAAAAGCAAATGAGTACAAAATAACACCCGATAAGGATTCCTTGTAGCAATGTAGTCAAACAGCAACCAAAATAAGTAAATAAATAAAATTAAAAGGGCTTTGGATGTTTCACCATCCAGAGGGTGAAATACTTACCATCATCTTCCACTATGAAATGGAACATATCACTTGTGGCATTAGCTCTCTCTCTTAAGACATAGCATATTTTCAGGTCATCAATGTCAGCTAAAAAACAACCAAAAGGCAAGGTGATTAATTACTGTTTCAAAACTGATGGCTTGTGCTTACAATAAATCCTATTGGCTATTATTATGTTTCTGAAAACATATTTAGACCCCTTTCAGGGGGAACAGTGCTTTATCTCTATCTCTACACCCCTAATACCAGCTGTCCTGTAGAAATCTGACCCTGCACACAGAAAAATAGAGGGCCAGACTTAGATTACAATAATAGAAAGGTGGTGTCCCTTCCCACCAAAGGAGTGGCTATCTAAAAATGGCGTGTCAGGCTCCATGACAGGTGGAAAGAAAGATATTTTGAGGCATGGCAGATTTCCTGGGCCTCTTGAAATTGCATGCTTTGCTTCCCTTGCAGAATGAGTCGTACAGGAAGCCAAAGAGAGGAGCAGTGGTTTTCTTTCCCATGATAGTGATATTTCTTAGCTGCTATGGTGCAGCAGATGGCTCTAAAGCTTTAATGCATGCATAGTAGAGACCTTAGCACCTTAGAATAGCCCCTTTCACAGCTTCCAAGTCCACCAAATTCACGTGCATAGATCTGTTGACATTACTAAAACACAATTTTAAAAATCCATCCATTTTATGAGCTCCTCTCCTTAATGATGCCACACATACAATTTAATGAAACAGATACCATTCTGTCCGGTGATACTTGAAATATATCTCTTTGAGCTGTGCCACTCAGTGAGTTTCTGAGGTTACAAGATGTCAGGATGTGGCTAAGAACACTGTCAACAGGTATGTGATATTTACGTGTCTCCAGTGTGCTTATGGTATTTCTAATTCTGAAAGCTCTTTTAGGTTTGTGCTGTTGAGTTCACAGGGATGATAAACAAAAGAAAAACATGAGAAAGTTGACTTGAATGAGTGGAGCATTTGGACTCAGCTTGTCTTGCCACAGATTTCTGACTCTTTCCTTAGGAAACAAGACTTGTGAACTGTATCCTGCCTCATAGCGCTGAAAGAAGATACACTCACAAAGAGACATTCCTGGCAATGGGAAAGTCTGCTTTACAGTTCATAGGACCAAGTCCAAATGTACTGCACCCCTGTCATACTTTAGCTCTAGCTCTGCCTCAGTGACCCACAGTTTTTCCTATTGCTCATATTGATCCGCACAGGCTTCTTTCCTAGAAGATTAAACACTTCTGAGGTTTTTTTTTTTCACCATTTTTACATGATGTATAGCCAGAAAATGCTCTCATGGGTCTTAACTTGAAATGAAAGAGCTGAGTGGCTGTACCCACTCACCTGCGCCTCCACCTTAACCTGGAGCAAGTATCTTTGAGTCTAAGAGGCACACACAGCCCCTGCACAGCTCTGCACAGCCACTGCATCATCCTGCAGAGCTCTGCACAGCCACTACATCACCCTGCATAGCCCTGTAAACCACTGCATCACCCTGCACAGCCCCTGCACAGCCCTGCACAGCCCTGCACAGCCCTGCACAACCCTGCACAACCACTACACAGCCACTACATTACCCTGCACAGCACTGCACAGCCCTGCACAGCCCTGCACAACCACTGCACAGCCACTGCATCACCCTGCATAGCCCTGCACAGCCACTGCATCACCCTGTACTTCCTTGGCCTGTTTACTTGTTAATCACAAAGGAGTAGTGAGAACCCTGCTGTCTCCACATCCCTATTGTACCCACCATCACCTGCAGCCATGAGGAAAACTTTTTTTAAACCTTCTCACCCAATCTTAAATAATAATAATAATAATAGTAATATCACTGATGATGATTGGAGACTGGAGAGATGACTCAGATGCCCTTGCTAAGAACCATTGTTCAGTTCCCAGCACCTGTAGTTATTTTAATTCCAGTTACAGATGATGTGCTGTTCACTTCTGGCCTCCCTGGGCACTGCATGAATGTGGGTGACATATGTGCAGGCAAAACACATATACATAAAATAAGTCGAAACAAAAGTCTGCAAGTCATTAAAAAACGAAGCTCAGGGGGGCTGGAGAGATGGCTCAACAGGTAAGAGCACTGGCTGCTCTTGTAGAGGACTCACAGCCTCTGGAATCCCTGTTCAGAGGAACTGCTGACCTTTTCTGATCTCCACAGGGAGCAGGCACACACCCAGCAAACAGACATACACACAGGCAAAACTGCAGACAATAAGAATAAAGAAGCTGGTCGGTGGTGGGGCACTAGGGAGTCTGGTCTACAAGGGAGTTCTAGGGCAGCAAGGGCCATGAAGAGAAATCCCAAAACCAAAATAAATAAGTTAGAAAAACAAACCTCTACTATACAACACATGTCAAAGTTATCTTTAAAAGAATACAACATTAAGAGAGAATTCATTGAAATAAATAACCACTTCAAAGCTTATCACTTTCCTTATAACTCTGGGAGACTCTTGATAACCATTCTGTTATTCTAAAGGTACATGTAAAAACAAATTGCAAATGTCCATAAACAGTACCTCCCTTAAGTCAAAGAGGACAATAATTAAGATAGCTGAAATATTATAACAATAATCTAAGAATTAGAATGTCTTCTGATTGCTATATTTGACGTATTTATCTCACTGATCTACACAGGCATTCCAAAGTTTCTGTTTTAAGCAAATATCCTTGGTAATCGCAGCTGGTACAAATGGAGGGGGACTTCATGCCTTTCTGAAAGCGATTAACAAAATATTCAACAAAAATGTCAGTACATGCTCATTATTTGCTTTTACTTTGTGTACATGAGTGCTTTGCCTGCATGCACCAGGGCACACTGTGTGCTTGCCTAGTACCCCAAGAAGCCAGATGAGGGCATCTGATCCCCTGAAACTGGAGTTACTTGTAGTTATGAGCTGCAGTGTAGGTGCAGGAACTGAAGTTGGCCCTCTGCAAGAGCAGCCGGTGCTTTTAACTGCTGAGCCATCTCTGTGGCCTCATTATGTACTCATTGTAGAGAAAAAGGAAAGTCAAGGCATGCTTAGACCTGGGAGCAAGCTGTTCACATTGTGAACCTTTCTTGACAATGCATTTATGTAAGCCTTTGGGAAAAAAAATTTAAATGTCTCCCAAGGGCCATTTAGTTAATCAACAGTTAGAATAACCTCTCTGGCCACCTTTGCTAAGTGTTCAACTCCATCAAAATTCATTTTCAGTTGTCTCTTCATGATAATGCAAAACCAAAAACAGAGGACTGCACATAAGGTCCTCAGGCCCAACACTGCTCTCATTTCCCTCCAGGAGGAGCAGGCAGCTGTGAAGGAGCCCTCTGCATCTTTAAACACTTATCTAATCTCCATAAATAACTGCTACGAACCAAACTCCAGCCTCAACTTGTTCAAATGAGTGCTGTGTGATTAAATATCAGAAGTACTCCTCCATAGAGTCTCACTTTGTATTAGGAAGGGTTAAGTTCCTTTAAAATGCAACTTTTAAAAGTATAATTTTTTATAACAAAATATAACTACAGTTACAGGGATAATAAAATTTAATCATGGTTACTCTGACAAAACAAAACAAAATGCCTACAATAAAATAGAATAATTTTAGGGTTCACCATATAAGGAATAATTTGGAGGTATTTCTGAGCTGTTATATTTGGCCTGTAGAACTTAAAAGAAATCATTAGCTTATCTTCTTCCATTTTTTTAAACAATAAAAACTACTGTGAAAACACATTGGTGTGGCGTGTGTATGGTGGGGTGAGAAGTAAGGCTTTCTGCCCTCCATATTTCTCCGGTCCTCTCCATGAAAACACATCAGCCTAACACTGCAGAAAACTCTGCTGGGCTGGCATGACACTCTCACACTGGGGTTTTCCTGTCCCTGCAAGCCCGAGATGTATGCAGGCTCTCAGCCAAGAATCAGAGGCTGGAGTGTGAAGCTGTTTGCCAGCATCAAACAGAAAAGTAGATCGCTTCAACACAACATCCTTGTCTATTAAAGTGTTTGTTGTCTGAGAGCAGAACGCTGTAGCAGGAAAAGAACACCCCCACTGGGATGTCCTGGGGTTACACTCCATTTCCACCCCCAGAGCCTCCATGGGCAGATCCAGTTTCCATTCGGTGCTGAGAGATTTTCCGAAAGCAACACAAATCCCTTTGTAATGAAAGTGGCAGGGTCTGAGAACAGAGCCTTAACCTCCAGCTAGCTGCTGAATGGTTCCCCCCCTTCCTTCTCTGAGCCACTCTGCAGAGGTCACCTGCCCTCCCTTCCATCTCTGACCTCATCAGAGCCTGCTGCCTCAAGGGCCTCAGGAATGCAGGTGCTTCAGGCAAGGGGTGTCTGACACTTTGCCTGGGAAAGGGGAGAGAGAAGGCTTTGAAGAAACAATGAATGAAAAGCAATGAATGAAAAATAACAATGAAATAAGTCACTATAACAATAACAAAAATAACAGTAGCAAATAACAAAATAAATAATTAAGGAAAAAGAATAAATAATAGTAAACAACAATAAAAGCAGTAGAATAATGAAAAATAATAATGAAATAATTCCCTCCTTTGACTCTTAGCCCTCTTTTCATATTTGCCAAAATTTAATGAGATAGATCACTAGTTGGCCAATGAATGAAGAGAGCTTCCTTGAACACCATTAACTGTGGGCTCCCTTTTTTGAGCGTATCCTAGTGCTGTGTCCTATTACACGAGATATAATTTTAAACAGGTTTATTTATCTCTTTTGTCTTTGTTTTGCAGTCATGAACCAATAGGAAACTCTCAAATAAAAAATGAATAGTGTCTTTAGTTACAAAATTCCCAATAGTCTCAGCAAGTATCAACCCAGTATTCTAAAATAAATAAATAAATAAAAGTATATGCATTCAAAGGTTCTGTGTTTGAATGTATACTGATAGTGACAACCAGGCAATTTATCCAGGCATATCTGGATGTCACTAAAATGTTTCAAGGACTATGTGCAGTCCACACAACAGGTTGTCAAGAAAATTAGTGAAATAAAGCAGCATCACAAAATCAGCCTCTACCATAAACCCTGAAATTCTCCTCCTTGCCTTATCAGCATATCTTGCCATAGTCACAGTACCTTTATACTCCCTCTGACAAAGGGCTCTACAATGCAACCCACAGCAAAGTGGGTGTTTTCCCAGGGCTCTGGGTACCTATGTGCTCTCCTCCCCTGTCTCCTTCCTCCTTCCTTCCCTTCCTCTTCCCTTTAGCTCAATCTTGATGTTCTACTTATAAATTTTAGTGACAGGTTCATTTTCAAGAAATAAAGCCTAGCATGGGCTTTGGTTGTAAGGAGTGAGGATCAGGACATACCTTGTGTAAACTGTGTGATGCTGTGGTTACCTTGGCCCAGGTTTAGAAGGTAGCCATGTTGGGGAGCTTCTGTCACAATGAACCTGAGAGAAAAATGTAGGCTGTCTCTGTCCTCCACTTTCAGTACTTTGCTTGTGATCATGAACCCCAAATGTCCAGTGGCCAGAGTACGAAGTGTAGAAGCTCCTTTGTTCACCACAATTTGGGGAACACTGTTGTCAACAGCCAGCACTTGGATTTTCATGACTTGAGGTCTCCTAGTTTCAAATACTGTATCAGGAAAAACATAGAAGTCAGAGTGGGTGCCATCAGTCACCGTGAAGGAGAAACTGTCTTCCGTGGACTCTGTGCCATCATGTTTGTAGCTGATTAAGTTTTCATTCAAGTCTTGCTTGGTAAAAACCATGACGGATCTAGTGTTGTTGAATAGGAGGTGCCCGTGAACGGGGACCTGGGTGACAGTGAATTTGAGGAGCCTGTCAGGAGTATCTCTGTCTTCCACAGTGAGCTCAAAGGGAGTGATCAGCTTGCTCTCACTTTCGCTGACCACCAAGTTGTGGATGGTGACCACTGGCTTTTTGTTGTCTACATCACTGATGGAGATCCGGAATGTTCGGAAGACAGGGTTCCGCTCCATCTGTGACTTGAAACTCAAAACTGTCCATTTTTACCTCATCCTCAGCTGTATGGATGTAGTAGATCTTGTTACCAGCCAATTGGAGCTGAGTGAAAGAAGTGATGGACACTCCTCTTTGATCTGTGCACTCCAAGTGACCTCTCATAGGAGCCCTGGTAATAGTGAAAACTAAGTTCTCATCAGGACTATTCAAGTCACTTGTACTCAGTAGGTCTGTTGTAAGAGTGACTTTGCCACCTTCTCTCAAGGACACACCCTTACTTATCACATCAGGGAAGACAATATCAACACTTCCAATAGACACATAAAAGTATCGATCGATAAGGGCATTCGTTCCATCTGTCACATCAAATTTAATTAGGTCTCGAATGCCCTCTTGCCCAAAATGGACATACTGAATTAAATTTCTGTCCACTTCATCCTGGGTAAAATTCATGCCTAGGGTGATGTTTTCAAAGACACCTGTAGGTTTTTGCCTCTGTAACAAGCCATGTCCTGGTCCATAACGAATAATATAAACCAATGATTTGTCATCAGAGTCTAAATCAGTTGCCATTAGTATTTTGTTGTTGATAACTTTGGTTTCCCCAACTTCTATTTCTAGCCCATTATTGATGGTCATCCTGGGGGTCTCGTCATCCACAGGGATGACCACAATGAGGGCCATTTTCTCCACAGAGTGCTTGCCGTCTGTCAATTTAATCACAAAACTGTCTTCTTGAGTCTCAGAGTCATCATGCTCATAAATAATGCTGGAACTCTCTATAATCTGGTCCAGGGTGAAGCTTTCGACCAACACTGTACCATTGATCAGCTGGTTCATGATGTGACCATGAGTTGGAAACCGGGTAATGGTGAAAGTTAAATCATCCCGGGGAATGTCAGCATCTGCAGCATTGAGGATGGGTGTGTCAACCACCAGACTCATGCCTTCCATCACCATGAATTCCCTCATGAACATTTCTGGCTGTTCATCATTGGTAGGAATGATTACAATGGGGAAAATCTGTCTCTCAGAAAAGTTAATGCCATCAGAACAACGGAATATAAAACGGTCTTCCACAGGCTCAACCCCCCTGTGGACACTCTGAACATAATTAATGTGTCCTTGCCTGAGATCCTTCACAGTGAAGGCACTAATGGCAATCCCAGCTCTTGACTTCTCTGAGCCTGGTGCTGGAGAAATGTTCTCCACATAGCCTGAGGTTGGCTGAATGACTATTGTGCACAAGAGGTCATCGTTCAGTGAGTCTGTGTCCTCAGCACTTAGATGGGTTAGGGTTATCATACTCTTGTCACCTTCTAGCACTACAAACTGCTCCCCAACAGAAATTTCTGGGGCTTGGCTGTCCACAGGTAGAATGGTCACCCACACAGTAACACCTTGAATAATACTGCTGCCAATTCTCCATTCTTGAGACATATCTGACAGGCTCAGGTTAAAAGAGTCTGCTTTAGGCAACAGGCCAATCTCACCACTGGTGTGGACATAGACAACAGAACCCTCCAGGATGTCCCTCTGAGTGAAATGCTCAGCTGGAGCTCCATTGACCAGAATTTCCCCATATAAAGGTGGATTTTCCAATAGGAAAGTCAACATTAAATCATCAGTATCTTGATAGGTCCCCTTAATGATATTGGCAGTGACTTCAGTAGCCCCATTTTCCAAGACATCTAGATAGGACTCCAGAGTGCCAGCTGGAAGGATTGACCTGGGACCTTCACGGTCTACTGGCTTAATATTCACTCTGAGAGTGATGGGCACCACATGGTGTCTATCACTGACCTCCAGGGAGCAGCTGTCAGTCAAAGATTCATCCCCGCTATTTGAATAGGAGACTCTGCCATGCTGTATGTCCTCTAAACGGAAGTGTCCTCCGACATGTAATGTCTGGCCAGAGATTTGCATGTGGCCATGCTTGGGAGCCTGTGTGAGAGTGAAAGAGATGTGGGCCACATCGGTGTCAACATCATTCACGTGCAGCTCAGTCTCCTGCAGGATGTGGTGGCCCTTCTCCTCAATAGTGAAGCCAGTATTGACAATCTCAGGAGGCTGGTTATCCACAGGCTGCAGGTAAAGAGTGAAGGTGCCCGGAGCAACATTCCCAGCTCGATCCTCTACTTGGAATTGAAACTGTGCCACTCGAGCTGCTACTCCTAGCTCTTGATTGGGGGGCCTGTAAGCAATTTTATGATGGTTAACCTGGGCTTGGGTAAAATGGGTCACTATGATTGAGGGATTATCAGTGAAGACCAAAGTGCCTAGTGGAGCAGGTGCATGGTTTTCATCTGTGTCCATGGGGGGCTGGGTCACTGTGTAGTGTAGCTCTCTATCATCTGTGTCCACATCAGTGTAGTGCAGCCACTTTTTCTCAGTGGTGTGAGCTGGGATTCCTGTACCACCATCCTAAGGGGACAGCCACGGCCCAGTTCTGGAGGAAGGCGGTCCACAGGATGAATGCGTATCACAAACTTTTGGATCCCAGATTGGTTAGGGGGGTCATGGTTGTCTTGGACTCTAAATGTCAATTGGTCCATCACGGGCCCAGGACTATGGGGCCCTGAGTGCCTGTAGAAGAGCCTTCCTTCTGTGATATCCTGTTGCCGCCATTCTGTCACTCTTCGCTCATAAAACAGCCCGCGTTTCTGCCACAGCCCCTGCTCTTCCTGGGGAGCATGAGTTTGGCGGAGAAGTAGGTACCCTGTGGTTGAGAAAGGTGATTCTAGTACAAATCGCAACTGAGAGTCATCTGAATCCATATCAGTTGCACTCAGAGTCGTGGGTGGGACAGGCACAGTTTCGCCCTCTGCCATGGTCAGCCCAGTGTTGGCGTTCAGGACAGGTGGCTGGTCATCCAAAGGCACTAAAGTGATGGGGAACAGGAACTGGACCTGGTGCCTGCCTTCTCCATCTGACATGCGCAGCACCAGGTTGTCACTCAGTGAGCCATCTCTGTCATCATGCTGGTAGACAACCTGGCCAGCGGCCAGCTCAGCCACTGTGAAGGTCTTGGGAGCAGAGTCACTACTGGGAGACCCTAGAACAACAAGGTGGCCATGCCGGAGCCCGGCTACCACCTCTAGTCTCACAGCTTCGAGATCGTCTTCATCACTGATGACCAAGTTCTGGGGTCCACTGCCTACAGGACCCGTGAGTGGCCGATATTGACCTTCATAGAGAATAAGGCCAGTGTTTCGTGTGACCACTGGGGCCAACGTATTCATGGGCTTCACCACAACCATGAAGGCAAAAGGGTCTGAGGCTGCTCCTTCGGGGTCCACTACCTCCAGTTCCAGTTCAAACAGACGCTCCTCGTTAGAGTCTTCAGAGGGAGGCTGGTAGGCAATCTTCAGCAAGCGCAAATCCCGTTGTGTAAAGGAGGAGAGAGGCAGGCTTCGGTCATCAGTGCTCACCAAGTAGCCCTGCCCAGGCTGGAAGGCAGAGGTGAGGTTGAAGATCAAAAGGTCCGGGTTGGATTCAGCATCCTCTGCTGCCAGCATGTCTGGTGTTAGAGCGGTCAGTACAAACTGGTCCACCTCCATCATCATCATGGCCACGAAACTGGGCTTCGGTGCAGTGTTCTCTGCTCCTCCGCGGATCCTCACAAGCACCTGGAAGTGCTCACGTTTTAAAGGCGGGCTACCCATAGGAGCCCCTCGAGAGTGTAGCTCTACCACCATAGGTAGCCAGTCCCTGTTAGGTGAGCGACTGGGAGCTGTGTGACGATAGCGCACTCCCAGCTCCAGGAATGCTTTGCAGTCCATCAAAAGGGTCTCCGAGGTCCCTCCTGGGACCTGTGGGTAGTGAAGGAGCTCTCCATAACGAGGCAAAGCACTCAAACCTGACAAGATGCCCACGCGGCACTCCTCAGTCTCAGACTGGTAGGCAAACTCTAAGCTCCGAGAGTCCAGGGCATTGCTGGTCCCTAGTAGTTCTTCCACGACCAGAGGTAAGTTCCGAGTCACAACTTCCAGCTGAGTGAATACCACTTCCACCTCTAAGGCCAAAGGCAGGACTATCGCCCCTCCTGGGGCATCATAGCGCAGCTGCAGCCGGACGCGGTCGCGCGAAGGGCTGCGAGCACCCAGGTGCAAGTAGCGCACCTCTCCCGGGCCATAGTCGCACGCGAAGCGCTTGGGACTCAAGCGGCCAGGCCGCTGGGCCAGCGCGTCATTATCTAGCACAGTCACTGAGCAGCGATCCCCTGGCTGCACCTGCAGCACCAAGTCACGCACTGGATCCAGCCAGACTTCGCGACCGAAGGGCACCCGGAGCCCGCGGTTCGCCACCACTATAGCTTCCTCTGCAGGGACCACTGAAGTCCCGGAAAGACCCGGGAACAAAAATGCTTCTCCTGGGACAGCGGGCTGTGTGGAGACGCGGCTTACCAGTGACAGGAACAGCAGCAGCAGCCTGGACGACTGTGTGGGTATCGTCTGGAAGCCGGAGGACTTGGCTGTCCTGCGCGCTCGGGTGGCCATCCCAGGAGTCGTTGTGGTATGCAGGGTCCCGGCGTTAGATTTGCAACAGTTCACCCTGTGACTATGCGAAGCTAGTCTGGGTGCTAGCTTCCAGAGAGACCGCTGGGAAGAGCGGAACACTGGGCGCGGCGCCTGCGGGGTCCTCCCAGTTGCGGGGCAGGAACAGGAGGATGGCCCAGCGCGCCGCGCGGTCCCGACCTGGAGCAGCAACTCAAGATGCTAAACACTTCCAGAGCGTCCGGGGAATGTGGCAGTCAGGACAGTCCCTACTTCCCAGGTCCCGGGACCTTAGCCTTTGAGGGAAATCCCTCCCCTTGCACCCCCTAACTCCAATTCTCCCAGGGGGCCAATCGCTGGTCCCTGAAGGAGGCTCTGAATCCAGGGTTGGGTAGTGACTGCTGTCAATCAGCTCTCAGGCGGGGAAACTGCGCAGAGCTGAAAGGAGAGAAGTGCAACAGGTTGGTTGGAACAGAGGGTGGGTGCCTGGATCTGCTTGGGGGAAAATAGATATCTCTAGACCTGGGTCTGCGGCTCAACCAGGACCCAATGCGGTACTATGGACTCAGATTTTCAGGTCTGGGGCCAAGATTAATCCATTTCAGTTCCCTTCCCTGTCATCGAAATCCCTCCCAGCAAGGCCACTTCTCGCAGAAACTTGCAAAGCGGAGGGAGCAAAGTTAAACACCTTATCGTCTGAGTTTGAATAGGAACCCAGAGCAGCTTGGGAATACACTGGGGGTTTTCTGAAGGACAGGAGATTAAAAACCAGACTCTGCTAGCTAGAGCGGGTTGGACCATCTCCCCCACCCCCTCCCCGGCCTTTACTGATTTCCCCATATTTTACAATGGACATGGTCCGCGGATTGGTGGTTTTTTTTTGTTGTTTTTTTTTTTTTTTTCAAGACCCTCCTTTGCAACCTAAGTTCACAGAGTTTGGGGGTGGGGGAATAGGGGAGGGCATTTGTAGTGTGTGAGAAATGCAGTAGGATCTGAATTTCTAGTCATCTACCAGAGAAGTTCCAGAGAATGTAGCCCCAGGCTGTCCTCAAGCCACTGCTGGCGGATAGCTGTCACTGCAGACGCTCTCTATTCCCTTCGCAGTAATTAGGTGAAGTACAAGCTAAACACACTTGTCAGCATCGCAATTCTTTGCACGCTGAGAGAGAATTGATAAACACCCGGAGGACGAAGAATTCAGATAAATCTCCGTTCAGCCAGCCCAGTCCTAAGCCTGAGTGCTTCCTGCCCCCTTGTGTTGGTCGGTCAGGTTTCATCTCAGTGCAGATCCCCCCCCCCCCCCCCCAAAAGGTTTTGTTCTCCCTGCCGCGCATCCGGAGCCCCTCACAATCAAAATCCAGCGCCTTTTTCAGTGAGTTTCTGGGTAACCTTGCTTATGTCGAAATATTTTTCCCAATAACAAAAAAAAATTACTATGAAACAAGGAACTGGAATAATGGAACAATTCCTTTTCAATAAAATACCGAATTTGGAAAAGAGGGGTGTGTGAAGAACCCTTTTAAATTTCAGTCGAAATAAAAGATGCGATATCTAAGTGTGTCGAGTTTTAGAAAGAAATAGCCATCATTTTAGCATTTTCTGTAGTCAGCTTGAGCGCCTCTATCTCAGGAGTTTAACTCCTACCTGATGTATTTACACAACACTAACTTCATTGGTAGATTTTGCTGGCAAATGTCAGATTATATTCCAAGAAGCCCAATGGCCTTTGGTCTCTGAGAATCAGAAGTGGAAAGTTCTGAAAGTCTTTTTAAAAAGAGATGAGACATTTATGCAAACAAACAGGAAATTTACTCTGTGTACTTCTTACTGTTGGGGAGCCTTCAACTTCAATGCCTACTTACATGTCATAATTTGTTACAAAAAATAGAAAGGACACAACCAGTAGTTGAAACACATGAGAAAAATCCCATCTGACTCTTGGCCCATTTCCAAGTCTCTTGATTTAATTATTTTATGATTTATCATGGTGACTTATGGTTTCATTTGGAACTCAAATGGCCAAGACATGAGAATATCCCATTTTCGATTTGCAGACACATAGAGAGATATCAAGTGGTCAAATTCAGAATAAGAGTCTTTCTGCGTCATATTCTAAATCTTAGTTATTGAAAAAGAAATCGAATTGAAGCCAAATGTTCTTACTCAAGGGTGTGCTGTGTGTGTGTGTGTGTGTGTGTGTGTGTGTGTGTGTGTGTGTGTGTGTGCTGGCCTTACTGAGAGCCACAGCTCAACCCCTGGTGGTTTCCAGTGACTCCAGGTTTTTTCCTTTCTTCCTTTTAAAGTCCAACAATGTTTGATTTGCCAACAGTGATAAGATCAGTATTTGAAGTATGGTCAGATGCCTGAAGGGGAGTGTCGATATTTTGTTTCATGCTAAGAATACAGGCCCAAGTTTATTTTTAAGTGGCCTAAGGAAATCAATAAACTGGACTTTTTGTGACTTTTAATTTTAGCTTTCCTTAACTGAAGTGATGGAATGATTCTTTGAGAATATTTTTTATTAAAAATCTTAGTCTTTTTTAAATCAGATAGCTAGCAATGTAGAGTTGCTTAAATATTTCTTATTTTGATGACCATTGCTAAAAACAGTAAAATAGTACATTTTCATTGGAGAGAAATTATTATTGGTTTTGATGTTGAGTTGAGCAGCTCATCATTAAAAGAATGTCGAAGTAAGCAGGGAAATATTATTTCAAGGAAAGAGTTCTTGATCTTAAAGGTGACAAAATAAACTAACAAATGTATGTTTACTTTTTTGAATCTCAGCTTTGCTCTTTAGCTCTTATTTCTTAAGCCTTGTACCACCTTCTTATGGATAACCCAGACAAAGTACTCCTTAGGATAAATTCTTAATTTTTTTTTTTCACTTCTTAGAACATTCACACAAAGAGTCTCTTCAAAACAACAAATTTACATTTAATGATTGCTGAAACCCTGAAAGATTTCCGGCCTAAGCTTAAACATCAAAGGTCTGATTTCCTGGAGTACAGGAGGTGTTTAAGATGCAGGCAAGATAGCCAGAAATGCACCAGCAAGTACAGAAATGCAAAGCAAGACTGGCACTAAAGCAATAGGTGTTAAATTTGAATATTACAGTTTTCATTATAGAGTCTGTTTCACTCTTCTCATAGTCTTCTATTGGATCTTGAGACTCTAATAGTCTCAGAGGCACTTTAAGAAGATGTTCGGCCGCCCTTAAATATCCATGGTTGATTGACTGGCTTCCATATCCTCCCTCAAAAACCAAGTCTGTGAATGTGCATAAGCCTGTGTAAAACAGGTGTAGTGTTTATAGATAACCTATGCACATTGTTCCATGTATTTAAGTCACCTCAGAGATGATGCAAATGTATAGATAGATGTGCCATTTTGTTCCGAGGACAAACACATAGGGACCATCTGTACATGTTCAGCCCAAACACAAAGGTTTTTCTGAATGACTTCAGTCAGTGGTTTGTTGAATGGATGACTGTGGAAGCCCTGGACACAGAGGGCCACCTGCACTGAACACAAATGAACACAGCTTTGCTCTATGCGCTTGCTGGTTCTGGACAGTTTTATTTTTGAGCAGTTTCAAAAGCATGGAAACATAAAACTGACTGGTTTCAGGGAAGCAGGAAGGGAGAGCAAACAGAATTAATCTGGAGGGGGCTCCTTCTTTCCGGCTAAGGGAGTTGTAGCAGGTGGCCTCCTGTTTCCTTACCTAGGACTTAGATGTAAAACAAAGAACTCTACCCTTAAAGTTAAATTCTGTTTCAGTTCTTTTCCTACAGATTTATAGGTGAGCTGCTATTTTGCACCCACTCCTAATTTTTTATTTTAATTTTATTTTGTCTTCTGTGCATGAGTGTTTTTTTTGTTTGTTTGTTTTGTTTTGTTTTGTTTTGCATGAATGTATATGCAGCATATATGTGCCTGGTGCCTGAGGTGGTCGGGGAGCCCATGGAGCTTGTGTTAGGAGGGATGGTTGTGAGCCTCCCTATGAGTGCTTGGAATCACATTACTGTTGTGAAAGTTTTCACCTTGCACATTCTTTGTTTGCATTAAGGTATGTACTTTCCCAAATACTTAGGAAATAATGTCTATACTTTATTCTTTACTACATATTTAAACTAACCCAGACCTATCTAGTTCACAACATCTTTGTAAGGAAGCCAACTAGATTTTTCAGTTTTCTAAGCAGCAATGAGCAGAAACTGACTTTGGCAAAATTAGGAAGGGATTTTTAGATATTGATTTATTCCCTAGGAAGACACAGAACCAAAAGCCAAGAAAACCAGCAGCAAGATGCTTCATGGGGCTAACACAGTGACCACTGCTGGTCACTTGTCCTTGCAGGTGTCTAGCTTCAGTGTGAATCAACCATTTGGAAGCTGCTGCACCCTCTGTCTGGGGGCTTGTAATGTTACCAATAAGCAAACTGATTGCAAATTCAAAAGTCCAGGCACGACTGGATTTCCAAACTTAAGTTCTAAGCCATGTAGGCATAGAGAAGTGAGCTTCTAGTCCCTTCGATTTCCTAATGCAGAATGGCTTCTTTTATCACACAGTTCTACCATAGGAATTCCTTTTTCTTTTCCTTTTTATTTATGTATGCATTTTAGGAGTATGAGTGCTCTATCTACATGCATGTCTGTATGCTAGGAGAGGGCATCAGACACCATTATAGATGGTTGTGAGCTGCCATGTGGTTGCTGGGAATTGAATTCAGAATCTTGGAAAAGCAGCCAATGCTCTAAACTGCTGAGCCATCTCTCTAGCACCCTCACAGAGATTTCTTAAGTAGTGAAAAGAGGTTGTCATTCAGGGGAGCCAAACAGGACCCCTTGTTCATTATAACAGAATGGGTATAAACCACATGGCTTCATAACTTATGTCTGAGAAAACTAGCCTAGAATACGGCATTTTTTTCAAGTTTGCATAATTATTGTCAAAATTTAAATTAAATAAATTTGATTAAATGGAAGTGAATGAAAATAATTAGCACTGAGACA